AAGAGGATAACACCTTCACTTGCAGTCGCTGCGGATATCGCCATGGCCCTCGAGCTTGTCCTGCTTACCAAAAGAAATGCTCTAACTGTGGTATCCCTGGCCACTTCTCTACGGTATGCAGCTCAAAACCAAATAATCGAGTGAAATCATTAAAAACTAAGGACTCCGATGAACATGGTGAAGTATTCGATTCAACACTCAGACCAAATTAGATACAGGAGCACAATGTAATGTAATAAGTAAAACTGTTGCATTAAATAGTAGTTTAGAAATTAATGGTTCTAAGATTAAACATTTGATTTCATACACAAATAACAAGCTACCGGTGCTCGGTGAATGCACTGCAGCTGTAGAAACAATTAACAAACAACGACAAAAAGTCAACTTTATTGTAGTTGATGGAAATTATCCAGCGATTTTAGGTCGAGATTCATGTCAGACATTGGGATTTGTTAAAAGGGTACATGAATTACACGCTAGCAATCTTGATGAAAACCTATTCAATGGGATAGGGTGTTTGAACAATTATGAATATGACATTCCAAAGTTTTCTCTGCTCTCAATATAGCAGGTCTTAAGCTCAACAAAGACAAATGTATTTTCAAAGCACAAGAAATCAAATTCTTGGGACACATAGTTTCTGGAAATGGCCTCCTTCCAGATCTTACTAAGATTGAAGCTATACAAAATCTAAAACAGCCCTCAAATGTAGCCGAGCTACAGCGATATCTTGGCATGGTAACTTACTTGGGTAAATTCATTAATAACTTTTCAAAGTTGACAGAGCCTTTGCGCAAACTACTGAACAAAGGAATAGCCTGGGTTTGGGATTTTGATCAAAAGACAGCATACAAAAAGCTAAATGAAGCTCTTGCGTCACCTCATTTGCTCCGTTACTTTGACCCAAAACTTCCCATAACATTATCAGTTGATGCAAGCTCACACTCTGTTGCATCAGTGCTCCTACAGGAAAATCGGTCAGTAGCATATTCTTCCAAATCTCTAACTAAAACACAGCAAAGTTACAGCCTAGAGAAAGAGGCTCTAGCAATTTCAGTTGCATGTAAGAAGTTTCACGAATATGTATGGGGATCACAAGGTCTAGTACAGTAGTTGAAACTGACCATAAGCCTCTTGAATCGATCTTTAAAAAACCCTTGCATGACACCCCTCCAAGAGTTAGGCGTATCGTTATGTAGATAATACAATCCAATCCCTACAATCCAAGAATTGTTTATAAGAAAGGGACAGAATTATATATTGCGGACACACTGAGTAGAGACTGCATAAATCAGGCTACCCCTGAAGAAGAACTTTCTTTTGCAGTAGACTTGGTAATATCCATGCCAAAAGAAAAACTTAAGGAGGCTCAACATCTCACGGAAAAAGAAGCTGAACTCTCCAAACTTAAGCACATCATTCTAAGTGGTTGGCCTGAAGAAAAATCTGAATTGCCAGAAGAGCTACACAAGTATTGGAATAATCGGGATGAACTAGCTTAGCTGTTCATGAAAATATAATTTTTAAAGGGGAAAAATATTGCTTCCCATGCATCTTCGTCCACTTACACTAAAACAGATCCACCTAGGACACAGAGGAATACAAGACTCACTAAATTTTGCTCGAGAATACGTGTTCTGGCCTAACATGACAAACGAAATAAAAAATTATGTTTTGAACTGCAAAATATGCTCAAAGCTCCAAAAAGATAATAACGAGGAAAAATTATTACAGCAAAAACTACCTACTAGACCGTGGATGGAAATAGGAACTGACATTTGCCACATATCCGGTAAAGATTTATTTTGTTGTTGCGGATTCCTACTCTGGTTTTTATGACATTGTTGAGTTAAAATCTACAACATCTTCAAATGTTATTACTGAACTCAAAAAGTTGTTTTCAGTACATGGAATTCCTGAGACGTTATTATCAGATGGAGGTACTCAGTTCAATTCATTCGAGTTAAACAATTTTGAAAAAGAGTGGCAATTCAATAAAAGGGTTTCAAGTCCTTTGTTTGCAAGATCAAATGGATTAGCTGAACGGTATTTTCAAGAGGCTAAACTCATTCTTAAGAAATGTCTAGAAGAAAAGACGGATGTATACCTAGCTCTACTTCATCAAAGAAATATACCCCGGAAAAATCTTGGATCTCCAGCTCAAAGATTATTGGGGCGCAGAACAAGGACACTGCTCCCTAGCACAGATCAAATTCTGCAACCTAAAATAATTCAAAATGTTCACAATGAATTGCAAAATATTCGGGAAAAATCCAGACAATACAGTAACAGAACAAAAAAGAACAACTTAGAATTTGAAGAAGGAGAAAAAGTTCTGTATAGAAAAGAACACAGAGAATGGCAGCCAGCTACAGTCGTAAGAAAAGGTCCAGAGCCAAGATCATACCTTATAGAAACTCCAGATGGGAATATTAATCGAAGGAACTCTTGATTTTTGAAGAAACGTTTTTGTGCCGTTGAAGAACCGGCAGAAGAAAGTAAAGTGAACGGAAGTAAAGCTGGAAATGGAGTTAAAGATGTAGATAGTAGAAAGTCATCACGAAGAGTAAATCCTCCCAAAAGACTTGACTTATAAGTGAAGAAGGGAGATGACATATGACTATAAAGTCATATGGTTGTTAACTATTATTATATTGTTTTTGTAAGCAAACTTACTAGTAAACAAACTAACTTGTAGTTCATTAAATGGAATTCTTCATCTAAAGATTTAGTTTTATTTTAAAACAAGAAACACACCACAAACGTGTTTAGTCGAGCTGTCTGTAAATATATATCAGACAAGATTTACAAGATTTTGGAATTAGGGACTAATAGCCCTATAAACGTGATTAGTGACAGCCACTTCCTCAGGATAATTCTTATTTCATTATACAACTCATTTGAAAATTTAAAAATTTAACATTGGCCTTATGGGTTCCTAAGTAACTATGTTGGTTGAACAAAATAACAAGAAAAAAATAAACAAAATACTTGTAACATGTGTTTATAACTAGCCATCTACAGTATACTAGGCAATTACAAAATACAGTACAATGGGAAAAACGTTAGTTGTAACTATTGAGCAAAGATTACACTGAAGATTACTCGACATAGGAGAAAATAAATAGAGTGAGTGTTTCTTATTGGTGACGTTTGAGTGCACTGGCGTCAACTCAATGTTTAACTCTTATTTAAGGGTAGATTTTAAACATTTTATTCACTCTATTATTGTTTACAAAATTAGGACAGCTGTATTCAGTTGATTTCCTATTAAAGTTAATTGTATTATAATCATCTTTATAGTAAGAAAACGCTTGAATCGGACTTATCTGTCTTCAGCTAATCCGTCATATGTTAGTATTTTAGAGAGTATACTCATGCTGTGGTTTTACTTATTCTCAAAGACAGATTTAATTTAGTACCAAGAAATAAATCACACTCCTTGCTGTACTAAGCTGTATTAATGCTATTGTAGCTGATTGCTACTGTATTACAAACTAATATCAAAATATTTATATTTTTTGCACATTTTTTGATTTATTTACAATGTAAGAAATGTGTAAGATTAAAATAAATTATAGTGGTGGATTGCCAAGTTTATCACAATAAATTGAAATTCCACTGAAACTAATCGAAATAAACATACCGAGCCATGGCTCGGTCCCCCGGTACTATTAGTTTATATGCAAATAATTTACTACCATAAGCTGTATTTTATTTGATTAAAAGGTACTATAAGAATTGTAGTGTCATTGCTATATGTGCTATATCATTCATGGCTTCAATTCCACATTTTTGACCGATATAGTCAAAGTCTACATCAGCATTATCTGCACACACTGCCACCGATCTTTTTTCTGTAGTCCACTCAATCCGTAGTTTGTTTTAATTTAAGTCCCTATGTGACTCAATTTTATTTTTCAGAGTATCGACTTATTATATTTTGTTGATTTTTTTGTTACCATAGCTAAATAAACAGTCTTAATGCTGTCCTCTACATAAGTAGTTAAATAATAAACTGTAAAAACATTCTGAATTTTTTCCCACAGAAGGAAAACTGAAATCTCATTCTCACAGGGACACTCTCTGTTCGTATTGTCATCTCAACTTAGCCCAGTGGTAAGCGGTGGCAGGATTTCAAATCGGGTGAGACATTTTATTTTCGTAGCCTATTCTAGTGGTCAGAAAAGATGATTGACACAACAATCAATTCTTAGCTACAGTATCGAAATAATTTATTTGCCTTTTCTGAGATTAAAATTAAGCATCAATGGTTTGTTAATAGTTTAAATTATGCGTGGTATAATTAATTCTAAGTGCAACAAAGAATTCAATCAATCAATGATGTTGAATTTATACTAATACTAAAAAATGCAGGCAAACATTGTATGGTTTGTGCACCTTCTTTACCACATACATGCAGGTGTGGCTGTACCTAACCACCTGTTAATTATTTCTTTGAGTTTTATATAAAAAAAAATGTTTTGTAAATATTTACTTTCTTGTTTACCTTTGCTTTCATGGATGTTATATTTTTCATTAATGCAATAAATTTTATAAAATGTTCATTATGGTATTCATATAACACTGTACAACCACAATAACCACACAGCAATATTTTTTTTGTAAATAAATTGATTGATTGATTTGGTTTCATTTACAGCATTTTTGAATTACGTAAACAACTATTTGAAAGAAGCTTATCAACGACTGAAACATCGGGCATTTATAAGTAAATACATTTTAACAAGCATAAGTAAGTAGTCTTTTCTTAAGTAAGTCTTTTCTTTGGTATTAGGAGTAAATAAAACTGCAAATATCTCATAATTATGAATATGTACTGAATTAGTGAATAGGCCTACAAATATTTTCAAATGGAATAATCTCACTTAATAGTTTTCTGCCATTTATTTACTTTCGTTCTTTTAAGAAAGTTACATTGATTGTATTACTTCTGTGACTTGGGGATTTAAACAGTTCAAACTTTGACATAAACACAGTTAATAAAGACAGTAAGCTGATTTACCCTCTTGTTGCGCCCAGACGACCAAACTGTCAACCTTTGAGTGGAGGGATGAGTAGCAGTCCTCAAATCTCCCCCGAGCATCCAACCCCACTGTCTCGAAGTTTGTTTTGACTCCGCACAGCAAAGCCGTAGCGCAAGCGGACGACTCCCCAATTTGTGCGTCCAAATTGTAGGTCTGTAGAAATACAAGAGTTTAAATAGCAAGTGTACTTTTAATACTTTTCAATGAAATGGCGACCATACAATGTAGGTACTTTAAGCCAAGTATGAATGGGGATGAGTGTAGGATGAGTGGCTAGATCTTTTAGTCTTGTTACTGACTAAGGCCGACATATTCCTTATATTAATTAATAGCACATACAGCTAATGGCAACTAAGGGACCTACAGTTTTTAGTAGAATCCGAACCAAATTTTACCTTGGTATTAACGAATTGGTCTAATTATCAGGATTGTACTGCGGATAGTAGTAGTACTCACTAGTGCGGACGTTAATCCACCACCAGGGAGTATCGTTTCATGTATAATGTACTAGGATTGAGCGCGTTCTGGGAACATGCACCGGTGCACCGGTGTTGCCCCGGTGCAAAAAATGTGTCGTTCTGGGAGACCAATGAGTTAACCTAGCAGACAGCTATTTCCTCTTTTTCCTCCACCGGTGCAAGATTTATGTACCGGAGAAATTGTACGGTGCATAATACACCGGCGGCCTCTGATTGGTCAGTTTCTTGGACAACAGCATGCAGCTACGGCAAGATGGCGGGTCCATCGAATAATGTTCATCAGTTTTATAGGTTATGTTGCGTAATGAGTGAATAATTTATTCTATGAGGGGGTTAAACTACGAATAAGTGAATAATTTTCAAATAATTTATTCTGTGAGGACAAATTTGTTTGGTTTAAATATTATAAAGTAAATAAAAGGTGAATGTGTAAATTATAATCCGATGTGTACCGTAAACCGGTGAATAACCGTTCTGGGATACCAAGACTCTTGCCCCGGGGCGGTACCGGTGAATAAGTCACCGGTTAATCTGCACCGGTGCACCGGTACATGTTCCCAGAACGCGCCCATTGTTTTTAGAGCAGTGAAAGCTAGTTGAGCGGAGCGATCACGTTACATGGTTTTTAATAACGCAATAAATTAAAACAACGTTTATAGGTATAATACAACTATTTTATCAGTTTAACTTAGCAGATTGTCTCAGAAATATCAACATCTATAACAAGTTTCATAGGTAAAGATGTGGACATTACATACATATACTTTGTATCGGTATTTTTTCTATGTTTGCTTGCTAATGTCATCTGGTGAACCCACAGCTCCAGTTGAACCCGACTGATCGACATTTTCTTAATCTTGTCCATTTTTTTGGCAATGCAGAGCGAAATAATCCTGCATTGATCTATATGATCGGAGATTTTTTTTAAGGACCTGCCTGCTTTGAGAGAATTGAACAAATAGTTTTCACCATACCTTATAAGATCTGTTTTCTTAAATATTGTACATTTAAATTGTAAAAGCGTTGTTTTCAAGCAAGTGTATATTAAACTGTCACAAATATTGCCAGAAGTAGTTGTTCATGCGTTTCGGGCGTTTATAAGACTTCTTAATTTTCTACAAATACTAGGAAGTTTTTGAGAATGAATTCTGAAATGTCCCTTAACATGATACTCTTATGGGGAATTGGATATTTTCTTGTAAACAAAAACGCAAAAACTACTTTACGCTCACTTACTTGGGCAATTGTATACCCAAGTCGTTGCCAATATGCTGATCAATACATCATGACGATCAAGTGTCTTGCCAACACGATACTATCATCAAAAATATTTTAAGTTTTACAATAGGTTGGGAAGTATAGAACCATAGTAGACCGCGTGTTTTGTTGGTAAGTTAATAGCCAACTTACATAAACATTAATTCAACGATATGCTTTATTAGTCAAAACAGCTCATTAAAATTGTTTGTTTAACTCTCATTTACATATTATGATCAATATTATATCTTTGCTATCAAACACATTGTCGTTATATTTAGTCGACATTGGCACACTGAAACGTTTCCACATTTAATTTCACAATAGGATAGGAAGTTTACTTGCACTGCTTAAAGTAAATAATAAGACCGCATCTTCATAATAGCCTATTTAGATAAAAATATAGATTTTATAATACCTAGTTTTTTCAAACTGCTGATTCATGTAGTTGTCTTAATTCCCATTCACATAAGATGGGTATTATTTGTTATAACCTAATTTAAATTACATAAATACACTGTGTAAAATACTGTACCTATCGATCAGTGGTAGTTTCCAAATGGCATGTAATATTTTCTTTATTATTTGATCAGTGGGCATTATTAGAATGTTTATCCTTTGTATTGTATTTAGGTAATTTATTCTGGTATTTAGGCCGGACACAGAAAGTAAAGTAGATCAGAATGTTTATCCTTTGTACTGTATTTAGGTCGTATATTGGCTTGATTGTAAACATATGCTACGATTCATGGTTTTGTTTACATTTACGTCGTTATTTTGTAACCATCATGGCAACCCATAAAGCAAATGTTAACATTTAAAAACTTCGAGTAAGCTTTAAATGCTATAGCCATTATCAACAAATGAAATGTTTTAGTCTTAAAACAGCAGTTAAGCAGTTTATTGTTAGCAGTTATTGAGTGATAGTGTTAGAAAGTTTGCATTGAAGCCGGCCCCAAAGGGCTTCGCTTCACTCCACTCAATTAGGTGACACTAATGTACTACCCGAATAAAATAAATCAATTCAAGGGGTATGCTGCTAGTCTAGTGGTTAGCGTCCCGGACTTCGGTGCGGGAGGGTCGGGTTCAATACCGACACATCCACAAAACATTTATTATCTCATGACTTCTCTTGTGAAAGGGCACTGGCGTGGAAAAAACTCAACAATGAATAAGAAATCAAAGCTAAGAACTGCTAAATATAAATACAGAATTTTTCTTATGATTACTTCAAGTGAAATAAACAATTTAAGTACAAAAACCACTCCAAACTATCCATCTTCACTATTAACACATTAAGGCAGTTAGTCTCGTTGCAATGTCAAAAGTTAAAACATTTTTATTTAATAAAGTCTAAAGTGTCATTTCGATAGAATTTTATTTGTTTTTTTTTATCTTTAACCTTTAATACCATATATTTAAAACAATCTATATTAAAGTTTCCTAAGTTACTAATAGTTTGATCATGCAATTTGAACTAAGGTATTATAGTGATAATTCAAAGTGAAACGGTGTAGGATTTTCAACTGATCTATAGAATAAAAATCTAAGTGATTTGTTACTGTATTGGTATGGATAAAAAGGATTTGCACTTGAGTAAAGCATCTATTAGTATTATCTAAAAAAATGACCAATTCAATGAACCAACTATTGACCACCGGATCTTTTACCCCCTTAACCGAAAATATCGGTCCGTTATAAAGTAAATAAATACTGATGGAAGTTTTGTTACATAGTTAATAAAATTACAACCACCCGAAAAAAAACTGAAATAGTCTGTCAGCTGTAGTAGCATTTACAGTTGTTATCATCGGAAAATGGATTTGGATCTCTCAAGGACCCTTTCTACCCATCTCCACTTCGCAGCGGTTATATAAATATACATCTACAAGTTATATAAGCATGCACAAATAAGAAGTAACATTTTTAATTGTTACTTTTATCATTATTTTAATACATCTTAACGGCTAAAAACACAGTTCAACGAAATAAAGCAACAGAATATATTAAAGTGGTCAATGTACAGTTCACTATGCGTAGAATTACTGTATACTATGAAAGTCCTACTTTCACGTTCAATTTAATTTTCCTTTTTTATTAAATTAAATAATTACGCATCCAATTTTATTACAGAACAAAATATTGTGCTAATAAACGAATAAAAAGTCCTTAGCTAATTTAGTTTTTTTTTCCAAACACTGCAACATTTATAGCCATTAATTTTTAATAACGGTCCTATAAAATTTTAAATATTTTAGTATTTTGGACGAAATTGTATGTTGATTTCAATACTTAGGATGCTCAAACAATATTGAATGTTGCGAAAGATATACGTGGGGGTTGTTTCTGGTTCAACTAAGTTCAATACAAACGTCACATGAAGAAATGTGACATTCAACCCGAATGTTTTATATACTTTTGTTTATTGTATGCGTATAGTTTAGTATGTCTGATTACTCCTTAATTCACGAAATAGTGATTAATTCATATACTTGCTTGACCTTTAAAAAAATATTCCCAGCTGTATTAGGGTTGATTTATATTGATAATTGTTTTATGGAAAGTAAATAAAAGAAACGTCTTATAACACTTACAACATATATTTACACTTATACTGTTACTCACAAGACGGTAAATATACAAAAAAGATGGTAAGTGGTGATCGACATTCGCTTATTGGGTCTGATGATGTTTGGAGTGTCCAATCGAAATCGAGACAATAATGTAGTTTTTACTTCAATTAGTCAAACCATCATAGTTAATTACTGGGATCTTATAGCCAGGAAAAAGCCATGGCGTAAGTAAATTTGAACAGAAAGCTATACACTTGAAACTTATAAAAATATAATTTTCAACCAAACGTTCAATGAAAATTTTGTTCAAAGTTTTCAGAGCTAAAACTCTATCACTTTTATTTTGCATTTTCACGACAAAGTTTACACTACTGAATAACGTAATCCATTTTTTTCTAACAATTGTAGTGAAAAAACCAGTTAATCTTCAATCTAATCCAGCTACCATAAAGTGCTTTAAATACCTCGGTGGATTCAACACGACCACGGTGATATATATTATCAATCATGGATATGTTTACAATCATGGGGCTATTTTCAGGCATCAGAGGACGGAAAAACATAGAATTAAAGTAAAGTGATATGTGTTTTTGCCGCAAATACGTGTGTAACGATATGACAAACTACATTCCTAACAAGTAAACTGTATCGTCCTTCAATGCCGAAGGATGGTCCCATATTGTAAATCGACATCAGTAGCCAACTAAACCATAATGATTACCGATAATGCAGGTATTTAAACCACTTTGTAACCGCGGCAATCTGGAGGCTACCTGCCTTGCAATGTAATCCATGCAAATAGTTATTATGGACTTGGACCTAAAACCATAGATTAAGAATACCATTAAGAATATCTGAGTATTTTCAGCTATGCAAATAAAGGGGGTGTAAAATTAAGGCTCGGTTTCGTAGGTTAGGGGTGGATTTTGGATCCAGACACGTCAACCACAGAATATTGTTCACGATTGATGGGAGCGGACGCTGTTTTAGGTTCGTTCTCATTCAGAATGTGAGTAAAGCGATTAATTCGTGCATATTACAGAACAAATTGACTATTTCTCATTTATCTTAATTTTCACAGGGCAAGTTCAATAATGATAGCCTTCTTAAAAAAACAGTCAAAGCACTTGGAATGAAAATGTAAACTCACTTTGGTAAGAGCGACAGCTGGAAACTTGTCCCAGGAGAGGTGGGAATCCTCACCACTCATTCCATGTCGTTGGCCCTTGAATATCCTGGAAGCCGTAGTGGTGGTCATCCCTAGACCGTCGCCTACCAGGAGGACGATATTGCGGGCGCTAGGTCGGTCCGCCAAGGGGGCGGAGCCCCATCCTCGCAACCTCTGGTGCAGAGCCCTTCCAGCCTCCTCATACCAGTAGTCTCGACCTACGGAAGATATTTTACACAGTTAACTATGGATTAAATAATTGTTTATTGAAATTCAACATTAAGTTCTGCTTATCATGAAAAGCTTGATGGATCAAGAAATATACGGATCTTGCTTGAGTTTCTATATTTTAAAAACAAAATGTTTCGTATCTTCTTCTTTTTAACATGGTGTTGCTCATTAAACGTACAAGGGTAAAACATTTTTGGAGATAAAACGAGTAATCGTGCATTTTGTAAGCGGAAAACGAGAAACAAAACGGAACGGGCTTTTTGTATTCCTTGTTCATTTTATGGATACATATATATTTTTCAACACAGCACACTTAACAAACCAAAAACTTTATTGAAATAAGGTGATAAGAGTAAATTGAACTTGTAATTCTCTAGCCTGTGGTGGGCTACGAACCATCTTGTTGTTGCATTGTCGCATTACAAAAATGTAGGTCAAGGTTTTCAATATAAACAATACTTAAGTCAAGACCTCAGTAAGTCAAATAACAGAACTCAATATTTTCTCAATTCAAACTGTCATATTTTGTTAACATTTAATCATTATTTTGACCCCATAAAATCTACCTTCACTCGTGTCTACCTTTTTCCCAAAATGAATTTCGACATTGGAAAATCTTCAAAATAATTCAGCTATTAATTTCAAATTGTTTATACTCGGTCGTTGTGTATAAAAAATAATATGAAGAAATTATATGACATTAAATAATATATAATAATTCTTACTCTTAAGAAAATGTATAAAAGATGTGCTAGTCTATAAATAGTATAAAAATAAAATTATTTGGAACATAATTTAGTCAGTAACTGCTTTTTACATACCAAAAACAAATGAAATATTACTTACTATGGACCAAACAATATTAAAATGCTTTGATATATGTAGCATTTTATTTTCAATATTTTATTTTAGCTATTTTTTTTGTTAACTTCAAAAACAATTTTACTACATTTCCTTAAATTAAAATATTTTATTCAAGCAAGTTATACATTTTAGAAAATTATTTATTTGAGTAAAACTATGAAATTAAATTAAATTCAGAATAAAGCCAAATTTAACTTGAAAGTCTATAACAAGAATATTCTATGAAAATCACTGTACTGGTTGAAGCAAGGTGATGTGATCTGATTGGCTGGAATGTTCCAGAAGTTGTGAATTTTAGCCAATCAGAGAACAGTGCACAGTCAGCATGCTTTTTCCAGGTTCCATGCTCATTCTCTGCCTGTCTTGTGAAGTAGTAGTTTGATGCATGTGACTATTATAAGTTTTGTTGTAATTTTAAAATTTCCCCCTTTTGGGTAAGTAAGTTTCAAGTAGATATATTCCCTTGCTATATATTGTTGATATAGGCCTTGCTAAACCTAATTTTTTGTAAACATGCCATATTTATCATTTTATAACCAATTTGTTTGATGTTATTCAGTATAGGTACCTTTTTTATCTTGAAATAATTTGCTCTTTAAAGAAGTGTATTTAAAGTAGAGTATTAATTACTTTTGGTTCTTTTTAGGGTTGACGTATTTGACGTATTTGAAGTATTAATGAAGAATTTTACCATTTTAATTGTTTTGAAGTAAAATGATTGTAACATCCCTTTTTCAAGTAAAGATTATAATATGTAAAGGAAGATTTATTTTTACTTAATAAATTTCAAAGCATGAAGAGAATATGAATATTATTTTACTAATTACCTCCAAGAACATATTTTATTTACTTTATACCAATCTAAATCAAGTGTAAGGTTGCTGGCAAGAAATAATTTAGTAACCCTACATATACAACAAAATAAAAACACACATACATATTTTTATGTTTACAATGAAACATATTATGTGACATAATTTTGATTTATGATACATAAATTGTAATATATATTTTCGTTAGAACCTTTTTGGGAAATGTGCATTTTATATGGAGATGAAATCAGCATTTTGATATTTTAAACGACCGCAGACTGTAGTTAGGCCTAAATAAATAAGATGCATAATTAAATTATAATGCTTTGAGTTAAAATATCAAATTAAAATAAGACATTTCAGCATATCCAAATTCTACACTTTCGTGTTTACATAACTGCAAAAAGTTCACCGCTTTTAGTTTATTGGCTCTTGAACTAGATTGTGTAAAACTCGACCCTATTTCAATCAGCTCGAACCTTGCTGTAACGTCAATGGCACAAACTCTAAACAGTCTAAATTTGATTGCAGATAGGGTTTAATATTTACAATTAAAAACATGTAGGTTGAACAAGCTAGGTAAATAATATACCTAAACATTAACATTTCATCATAAATTTAATATTCAACATTTCATTATAAGTTAAATATCCAACATTTCAACAAATGAACTCTTTTTACAGCATTATGAGGAAATCAACTATGTAGCTTTTGAGATTATTGTATGTAAGTAAATGAAATAAAATGTTATTTAAATTCAAACAAACAACTTTATTTGCTTATAGTTATTTATGATGATTCAATGTTTGTTATATGGATAGTTATGTCTTATTTTATTTCTTAGCTGTACCCGCGGGCTTCGCCCCGTTTAACTTCATAAGCATTCGCATGGCTCATTCACGTCCTGGTTGAAGTTCGTTCGCTACGCTCACTCACCTTTAGGTTTGCTCGTTCGCTACGCTAACTCGCCTCCAGGTTGAAGTTCGTTCGCTACGCTCACTCACCTTTTGGTTGCAAATTAGCTGTTGTCATAAATAAAAAAAAAAATAGTGCTGCACCCTGTTGGTAATCCTTGTAACTTTTATGCTATTGAACATCATAGAACAGAACCCAAGGTTATTAAAAGAAAAAGAGGTTGCCTCAGTCGTGCGTATGACGTCACCCGCCGACCCGGACGGTGCTGCTCTTAATTCACACAGCTGCCACCTGTCAAATTCTTTGTTATTGTTGTTTGTTTTTTATTTATTTAATTTCATAGAACTTACACAAAAACAAACAACAATAACAAAGTATTTGACAGGTGGCAGCTGTGTGAATTAAGAGCAGCACCGTCCGGGTCGGCGGGTGACGTCATACGCACGACTGAGGCAACCTCTTTTTCTTTTAATAACCTTGGAACAGAACCAACTTGTTTAATTGAAACAGCTGTTAAGATTCGTTAATTCCTTTTAAATATGAAAAATCATAAGATTAACATGGGGAACTACAGAGCCACTGGGGCGGAGCCCGAAAGGGTTTTTGAGATAAGAATATGCTTTAATGTTAATCGGGAATGTGAGCTATCATCATGCCAAATTTCAGTCCAATCCGTCCAGTAGTTTATGCGTGATTGAGCAACACACAAACATACACACAAACTCACAAACTTTCAGATTTATAATATTAGTAAGATAACTCGGGCTGCCAATATTTCTTTCCTAGAAGCATTTAACAGTGAAATTTACTTCCTAAATTTTACATTTTTTAAATACAGTGATAATGATTCAATGAGAAAATTCCAAACAACTAAATAAAATGATCCATATTATCCATATTGTATATAGTTAATAATCTAATAACCAGATAAACAAATAAATCTAAATTTTACGAATAAATGTTAACAGCCCATTGTCAATAACTTTTGTTTAGAATTTTCAAAACAAAATCTAATTAAGGGGCTTAAGCTACTTCTATTCTTTGGGTGAAAAGAATAGTTCAATCAGCAAAATTGTCCCGACGCGACCCTTACTAAGGTAAGATGTTGGGACCTGATAAACTCAAAACACTGCACAATTAGTGAGTAAAGGAGGTGGTCGTGCCTTGGGCGACTGGCTTATACTCGTCAAACTAAAGTTTTGAGGGAGCGAGGGTGAGCTTAAACCAACCCTTGTTCTGAAAATTTGTGATATTTACATTCAATAATTTTGTTTTTATGTTTCTATAAAATCGCCTGTGGAAATCATAGTTTAGTGAAATAAACATTAATAGTAAACATAACTGTATTACAAAATGTGTAAGAATATTATGTGAAGGTTGTATTAATGTTAGTATTGGCATTATTAAAATTTAATTAAATAAAAGTGTGTGTAAACATAATTTTATGACTATGGGGTGTCATGCGTGGCAAAAAATTACATTAAATTTTTTTTAGCGAATTTCCCTATAGGGAAGTAGCTATTACCGTAGGTGGCTCGGTAAGACCTAGGTGCGGGACCGATTTACTTTTTAATTTTGATGTCCCCAGTGGATAAAAACACAATTCGTTCAAATTTATATATATATATATATATATATATAAGTTACATATACATATATAAGTAGATAGTGTCATGCTGATAATAGGCCACTTTGGATACTAACAGAAAATACGTATAAAATAGTTTTTTATTACATATCATGTTTATACAACTAAGACCCGTGAGTTTTCATGATTAATTTTTGTGTGTATATATATGTTCATGAACGCATTAACTTAATTTTTGTCAAATGTTTGTAACTCTAATTTTTTAGTAATTTTTGTCCGATTTTGATTAAATTTGGTTTAAAGGCGTAAGGCGCGATAAACTTGAATGAGTTCGCGAACCAGCGAACTAAAAAAATAAATAAATAATTACTTATTTATTTATCAGTAATTTATTTATTTATTTATCTATTAATAATATAGTTATTTGAAATCAGTTCAAAACTATTTCAATTGCTAATATTTTTTAATTGTATGTATCAAAGTTGTATGCTGTTTGCTTTAGGGTAGTTGTCGTGCATGTAATTTATGTTATTGTGTATTAGTGCCTTATGTAATTGGCTGTTAAGCTGTATAAGAGAACTTAAAGAAGAATTTTGATTTTTGAATTTTTAATCGGACCATGGGCTTTACGGGGTAAAAAATGGGTTTTTTAAATTTTTACCCTCAAAACACAAAATTTCCCAATTTCTCTAGGCCTTTTTAAAGAGCTTAAAAAACGATAATTTAGTATGTCAAAGTGTTTTTGTACGGTTATTGGTAACGGAGAAAATTTAAAAATCTGTAAAAGTCCGATGTTATTCTTATAGAG